ACTGATTTTCGATGCACATTGTACAATATGTTACGCATAATGTTTTTTAACCTTTCGCTGCCCTTGTATCTCCCACAAGGTAAAAGAGTTTCAGCAAAAGAATTTATAAACGTATCGATATCTAAAGGAAAGTTGTCTTTGTCGTATTGTATTAGAGTGGGTTATGGTACGTCATTATGATTGGTGTTACGTCATTTTAGTTGTGGCCGGTGTTTGGTTGAGCCCCACGTGGTGTAGTCATGTGTTGGGACCTACGCGCATCCAGCGGGAGACAACAGATAACAAAATCCACTAAAATATTTTTTTATACATTTTCATTTATTTTAATGATAAGATTTTTTCCATTAGGTAGAAATGGAAATGTAAAATTTATGAAACGTTATTTCGGTTTCCCCAATTTTAGTGTTAGTATTTATTTCTCTTTCAAAATCCATCTTCGGTACATACAACAGTTATTTTTTTTTAAGTATTTATCTTTAGAATTTTTGATAGAAACCAAACCATAAGTTCGTACTAAGCTAGTCTCATATGAAAAACTGGAGTTGTTTAATTTTTTCAAAGAGGTAATTGTTGATTGATCAAACTTAAACTGCGTAGTTACTCCATGTTAAAACTATAAAGGTCTTATCCTATAATATTTAATATATTTAGTAGGGTGTTCCTTATATTTCGAGGTTTTTTTACGCATACCATATTATGATATATGCATATTAATTTTGTTTTGTCCATTTAATAAACGATGTAAATAGAGTGAGAAGTGCGCTCCCCATAACCACGATTTTCTTTAGTTATTCCATAAACATTTTTTTTTAAATCAGTTTGCTATTTTTTATTTCATTAATATTCCAATAGAATTACGAAATTATTAACAAAATATTTCCCCAGTTGAACTATCTTACACTGAAATAAATGGAGCCAAATTATCGCCTCGTTGGTAAGAAGTCACCGTCTTATTTTAAAATGTCATCCAAGTCAAGTTAGCCGCCAATGAAAGTACAAATATTGTAATTAGAGAATGAATTATATTTTGTCAAAAAGCGTTAATTGCCACAAATACATTTACTAACTGCATAAAAAACGTGTTAACGTATACCATATTTGGTGGGAGTGGCAACAAATTGTAATCAAATTCATATCACTTTCAAGAACCGTTATAGAATTTTAAATTTAATTTATTTGTTTATTGCACTTGCTGACAACTTTAAGAAGATGAGAATAGATGAAGGTAATATGCATCAGACAAAACTGATGACGGTAAAAATTCTTTAAAAATATGTTTGCTTTAGGGAACTGACACAGATTTATTGCAAAGGATGAAGGATTTTTAGTACATAATTACTTTCGATTTCATTTCATGATCACCCTGTTAATGTACCCACCGCTGAAGTACGAGACTGTCATAATTAATAATTTATTTGATTAAAATTTTATTATTTATTTCGATAACGATTGTCATCTTAAACGGGAATAAAGCTCAGATTTTGGCAAACGATTTGTACTATCGAAGGAAAAACTGGTTTAGTGACTTAAATATTTTAAAGTTCACTGTTGTTTTATGACTTAATAAACTTTCAGATATAACACTGAATGATTTTGTATTAGACTCGTATACATTTTTTTATTTCGACTGTAGATCGACGACTAATACTGAAAGAGTAGTCAAATGAATATAAGATTCTAAGAATATATCACGCTGAAGAAAAATAATAGTTTTTGTCGCGTTATGTTCAAGAATATTAAAATCTGTAGCTCTGTAAAAGTTACTCTAAATGACTGTTATTATTTTTGTTTATATTTTTTTAGTTAATAAAGAATAATATTTAGCTTTATTCATTTTTTTTGTTGCAATAATATTAATTTTATAGCCAATGAATACGTCAGGTAAAATGCGATCTTTAAATAAACTTTGACCATCTGTCAGCACGGATTGTGATAATGATATCACTTTAAGAAGAAATGGAAAGTTCTAAATTTGTATTTATTTTTTAATTATCACAAAATAAATATTGTAGTATAAATCAAATTATTTATTGGTCATATAACTCAGAAAGTTACACTCGGCAAGTCTTTTACTTATAAGGGACAATTATTTATTTTATATTTTATATGGGACACCATAATATTTAGTATTTATAATATTAATATAAATTTTCTTAATTCAAATCGGTAGCAATAATATAACATTTAGATTTAAAAAAAAATAAAGTAATTATAATATTTGGTCAATTTTGCATTCACAATATTTAGCTGAAAAGTATTTTTAATGAAAACTCCTTAAAAAATATGTAAAAAAGTATAAATAAGGGAAGAAATGAAAAAGTATACAGGACACAGTACAAAGCAGCAGAAAAGCAAAGTATAAAGAGGCCCACAAACGTATAATTTAAAGATAAGTTAGCATTTACTACCGATTTCTTCTTCTATTCCTTTTCTGTGCATGATGTACGTTTATGGAATTCTCTCCCGGAGGATGTCAAGACCATTTCCGGAGGATGAAGTTCTTTTGGCGGTTGAGTTGAAAGCTTTTTCTATACTAATGATTGTACTTATAGTTTTCTTATTTATTAATTAAAGATATCCTTCTGACCATTGCACCCAATACCCCATATTTTCCCTTTCCTTTTTAATATTCTCCATCATAGGTTGCCTGGAAGACATTGCTGTTTAGCAATGAAACCGCCTTATGTATGCTTTGTATTGATAAACCGTGTAATTTCCTATTTTCCTGTCTCTATCGTGCTTATATTGATAATATGAGTTAAACTTATTAACTTTCTTTTAAAGGGACTATGGGACGTGGATGCTATTATACAGTAGTAACTAAAAAAAAAATAAACGTAAGCACGTTATATCGTCGAAATGTATCATCAAATTCGTGTTATTGAGTTATTTAAAATAAAATACGAGCCACAAGAGCCCACGAATCTCCGGTTCTCATGAAGCGAGTCACATGTGGCGCACGTTTCAGAACCTCCCTCGCAGCATTCCCGCACCCCCGCCAAGGGAACCAATAAAAAAAATACGACAAGCAAAATACTACTCTATGCCGCTACACTTAAGAACTACCACTTCTAGAATTCTAACCGAAAGGGTCAGTTTTTATACTACATTTTATAGGTCAATGACCTACTTTAGAGGTACTTAATAAATTCAGTTAAGAATTTTACAGTATAGGTGAAAGGGATCTCATAACAGTTATATGTATAGATATCACTATTTTAACATGATATTATTTATTTATGAAAAATATTTTATTTTTTAAACAGATTAGTTAATCAGTTTGAAAAATTATTAACCATACTATTAAGTACGGTAAATTTATTTGGTTCAAAAATATAGCTGTCAACAATATCAGAAACTTTGTTTGTATTCCAGGATCAGCTAGCCTTAATTGTAATAATTGTAATAATAAAAAAAATCTTATTTAAGTTTACTATAATCAAGAATATTTTAGGTTTATAACAGACAATCAATTGAACTCTTATAAATTCACCATCACAACAGTTAATTTCCATAATCGGTATCGTTTCCTTTAGCCTATGATTGTCTGGTAAAGATTGCTACTTGTTGAAGCCTTTTGCAAAAATTGACGTTCAAATCAAAACGCATTTCGTGCACTTCGTAATTTTTTAGGCCAGTATAATAGACCAAAATTCTTCCTTCCATTGGACACATAATCGCAAGGATTGTGCGCAAAGTTCAGTAAGGCAGGTGTATAGAAAATATGGAAACACCTGTGCATGCTCGCTCAATTCGTTCAGCGGAAAACATTTCTGTTGTATGTGATAGTGTGGCAGAAGAGTCGTCATCGTGCCCAAGAATTGAACATCTCACGAACATCAGTGATGCGAATTTCGAGTAAAGATATGAATTTACACGCTTACAAGGTGCAAAGAAAATTATCTTCTACGACGAGGCGCACTTTCACCTCAGTGGATTCGTTATCAAGCAGATGTGCCGCATTATGAAAAATAAGAATTTATGAGTGATTATTGAAAAGTCATCTACAAAAAGTTACTGTTTGGTGCGGTCCAGGGCTGGCGGCGTCATCGGGCCGCACTTGATCGAAAATAAGCTCGACCATGCAGCAGCATCTGAATAGTGTTCGTTATCGCGACTTTTAGTGGCCAGAAATTGAGGACATGGACCTGGACGATATGTGGTTCACTGTCACTTGCCACACAGCCAGCAAAACAATAGCTCTTTTGCGCGAGAAGTTTAATGGCTGTGTAATTTGGCGTCGTGGTGATATTAATTGGCCACTCATGTGATTTGTCTTTCTTTAGGGTTACTGAAAAGAAAAAGTGTACGTCAATAAGCCAAGAACAATTCAAAAGCCAAAGGTTGAGATAGTTCAGCGTCTTAACGACATTGAAAATATGGACAGATCGGATAGAGGTATTCCACCGTAACTGTGGCGAGCATTTGGCCGATATTTTGTTTCACACATAATTGTTATATATCCTACTATCACAATAAAAAAATATAAAGTTAATTCTCTAAAAAAATTTTTTTTTTACAATTTAACATCGAGCGTTTTGGTTGCACATTATACCCCTACAATAAAAAAACACCTAATTATAGTTTAAAACGTTGGTACAGGCACTTTGCTGTGTGTTGAGTATCGAGAATAGGAGGAAAAGTGTCCAATAAAATAAAACATTTAAAATTTTGTGTAATATTCACTATTTGTGATGTAACTTTGATGGTTTTAAAAATTGGTGATATTATTAGAACAAAATTTATTTCAAAAGATGTAAATTATGTCCCTACTTCGAAGTACGTGCTATACGCTCATTATACATAATATGTAGCGATTATGTATAATTGTTAATAACACAACACATACAAAGCTTGTTAGTACTATTTTCCTGAAAATAAAGAACTTAGACACATAATAGTTTTTTTAATACTTGGATTTCTCCAAATTCAACTAATAATAATTTAAAAAGACGAATCATTTGTTATGTAAATATACAAGCGTATTTTGAAGATTAAAATTAAAATATTTTTTATATTTAAAATTACTGTTGTTCAAACACACACACAAACATGTACACTGTTGATTAATTTATAATTTAAAATAAAAAATTAATGTAAGCTCAAATATTAAATATGCAAAATTATAATTTTGATAGCTACCCTATACTAATAGCTACCCGGCGGTGGGCGCTAATGGTAGTACTTTAGTTTTTTTTCTTATTTTATTACAATAAGCGTGAGACACAATATCTAATTCTATGAAATTTTCATTCATAAATAAATCTCTCACAGTTAAACGTTACGGAATCGTGACGTATGCTATTAATCCGACTATTTATGGATTTTTTAATCAGTGATATTATTTAAAATTACGCATGTCGATAAGATCATTGGTATGCGGCTTAATAGCGTTTTACGTATATGTTTAAGCTGTGCTATTTTTGGGTTGTATCAGTCGATCAAATAGATTATACAGTTCATTCATGATATAGATAGATAAATCGCCTTGGATCGGTTGTTTAAGCAGAAAATTGAAAATTGAAATAACCATATACCATAGTGGTATTACAATAAAGATTCAAAAAATATCGAACAGTTTATAGTGTTAAAAATCGCATCAAACATGTGATTTATAAACTCTGTCTGTAGGTATATAACTGCCATTATAAAAAAAGCAGTTCTTTGCCGATTCTTCTCGGTACAAGGTCTTCTGTCTTAGATTTACGTACTGATGACATAGAGTTTCGACTTTCATAAGTATTCGTAACAGCTCAGACTGAATAAAAGATTTTTATTGGATTTGTCAATGTAAATTGTAAGCCTCCCCCATTTACACATAATTTGATTTTATCTATTTTTATGTATGTTTATTGTGGTACGGATTTACATTCGTGGTCACAGTTGACTATTATATAGTTTACAATAGTTATTAAAAATAGAAAAAAATCACGTTTGTTGCACGGGAGCCATCTTGAATATTTATGTTATTCTGATTTTAGTATTTGTCGTTAGTGGCAATAGAAATACATCATCTGAGAAAATTTCAACACTTTAGCTATCACGCTTCATGATATAAAGCCTGGTAACAGACGGTAGACAGACAGACGGGCGGGTTGTGAAGTATCAATAATAGGGTCCCGTTTTTACCCTTTTGGTACGGAACCCTAAAAAGTAGGTATTTTAAGTATCAATCAGATAATATCAAAATAATCAACCCCTTTAGATCAAATAAGTATATCTAATTAATTATTTTAGGTATATTAAGTACTCACATACGCAAGAATTTGTATTTGATTGGTTGAAGATGATGATAAAATACTAATCGACTAATACCTTGCAATTCTAATTCGAGCTTATCTTTTTTACGCATTCATTTCATTGACATTATCGTTTCCTGTGACAAAGATATATACACATACGTACACACGGCAACACGTTAGATTACCACAATATGTCAAATTTACTCAACGTATTAAGACTTAAATTCAAGTAGACAATTTTCACAGTTGTCTATAACCTGACATGCTGCTGACTGTACATGGTATAAGAGATAGATAATACAGTACATAAAGAATTTTCATATCAGTCAGTTTTGAGCGTTGTAGTGTGTCGACAGCATGCGGTCGAATTTGAGTATTTTGTGGGCTCTACTCGCCGTCATCACAGATAAGGCTCTGAGCAAAAACTTACCTATAGAATATCCTGCAGTCAATACAGCTTCAGGATTAGTGATTGGTTCTTTAGCAAATGATGGAAACTATTATGAATATCTCGGTATTCCTTATGCAGATTCTACATCAGGCAGCCATAGATTTAAGGTAAGATTTTGTCCCTATCATTTCTATATATTCCTATCATTTTTATGTGTGCATTTAAAGTTTAGTACTACTTGACTAGAGATAAAACCCTGTAAAAGATCCAAAAGACTTATAAATGTGCCAGACGAAATATAACTTTTTTGCTTAAAAACCGCTCAAAATTTGTTTCTTGTAACTTTTAATTTGTTAATTGTTTATTTTTTTGTTTTACTTTAATTATATTATTTTTTAACTTTATTTGTAATATTAACAAATATAATTTATTATTTTTTTAACCGATTCACATTCAAATCGCTTTTTAGGCTCCAAGTCCACCACCATATTTCACTGAACCTTTCATTGCGAGCCGGAAGGACATTAAATGTATACGAGCTTTAGGTAATGGCTACGAAGGGACTGAAGATTGCTTAGTAGTTAATGTTTATACTCCTACACTCGATAATACGAGAAATTTACCTGTTATGGTATGGGTGAAAGGAAGAGAATTTGATCATTTATACGGACAAGAGTTTTCTTTTAAACAATTTGTCGAAAAGGATGTTATTGTTGTCACTTTGAACTATCGTGAATCAATATTAGGGTTTCTGTGCCTCGGTACAGAAACTGCTCCGGGTAATGCCGGTCTCAAAGACATTATTGCTGGCTTGAGATGGGTCAAAGAAAACATTGGCGAATTTGGAGGCAACTCTAATGACGTTACTCTTTTTGGACATGGAAGTGGTGCCGCAGCTGTGGATTTAGTCACTTTGTCACCAATGGGAGAAGGTCTTGTTCATAAAGTTATTACGCAAAGTGGAAACGCACTCGCTCCTTGGGCCGTTAGTAGAGATAATTTGCATTACGCTGTGGAAGTGGCAAAAGCACTCGGTCATGATGTCACTGACGTCGATAGTCTATCTTTAATTTTTACCAGAGCTAGTGTTCCTGCTTTAATGGCAGCAATTAATGAACTGGATTTGACAGACAATTCTTTAGCATTTTCGCCGTGCATAGAGAGAGACGATTTAAAAGGGGAGAAACCTTTTATGAAAAAATCACCTTTTGAAATAATTAGCAATGGAGAATTCTTACAAATTCCTTTAATAACAGGTTTTGTTGATAACGAAGGTACTATTAGAGTAGATGAAGTTCAGACATCACATTGGCTTCGAAAAATGGGGGAGAGATTCATTGATTTTCTACCACCAGATTTGAAATTTAAATCTGAAGAAGAGCGAGAAGAGATTGGTAATAATATTAAAACATTTTATTTTAAAAACAGTGATATAACCTTGCAAGACATCGATGAATATATTTCGTATCATGGAGACACAATGATATTGGTATCGTCAATAAGAGAAGCTCGGCTTCGTGCTTCATCCTCTTCGACTCCCATATACCTTTACCAATTTTCGTATAAAGGTGTATTAGGTCAACCATTTGAAGGTCCTTTACCAGTTCAGCATGCTGCTCATAGTGAAGAACTAGCCTACTTATTTCCGGAAATGAAAAATTCAGTAATTTCGGAAACGGATCTTACAGTAGCTGACATTCTTATAGAAAGATGGACAAACTTTGCGAAAGAAGGGTAATCACTTTAGAAATAAAATTGCTTTTTTTATACATTACATCACGTGCAATGGGAAAATAATGTAATTTTATTTTTCAGCACACCTACTAGTGAGACTTCTCCTGTAGTATGGTTGCCATATACAAGCGAAAATCCACATTATCTTAGAGTTCTAAATTATGATGACATTAACGAAGCTAGTGGTACTTTAGAAATAGATCTTATTCATCCTCTCGTAGAACAGATGCATTTTTGGGATAATATATATGAAGATCATTTTTTGGATGCCCAGTCAATATGGGAGCTTAATTTTACCGACAGTAATAAACAAAAGGAGGAAGGAGGGCAAAGTAAGTACAACTAGATTTATTTCATCAAATAACGTTATCATTGTGCAAATGTTTCGATCAATAATAAAAATAAGATGTCAATTTAATAAGATTTCAATATTCAGACCAACTTATCTCCTGATCAGGAGTGACATATCATTTGTGTGATAGTTGACACTTGAATATAACAGATAAGATTTAAAAGTCAGTTCTCTAAAGTTTTAAGCCTTTGCTGTTTTACTCTTTTGATAATTTATGTGATGTATTTTTTGATATCATAAGTATTTTCCAGATGAAATAAATTAGGTTAGAGCTTTTGGTTACTTACCAAAAGCTCATACCTACTTACTTAATGCATATTTGCTTGACGAATCACGAACATCTTTAAAGTTTACATCTTGTTGTTTGTTTGCTATTTGATATCTCATAATATTAGTATTGTCACAAAAGTCTAAAATAACTTGACTAATTGTAAGTAACAAATTAGAGCAAATATTATCCTAAGTTAATTTATTTACAGTGTCATCGAAACTTAATATCAGAGATTATGACGATATACTTGAAACTGGGTTACAAGAGCAAGACTTTTGGGAAGATACATCTAAAGAACATTTTTTGATAGTTAAAGGATTATTTAGTAATCAAAAGGATTTGATTTCAAGGCAAGAAAATGAAAATAATGAAGGATCAGGCGACGAAGGTGAAGGGGAAGGTGAAGGCGAAGGTGAAGGCGAAGGTGAAGGCGAAAGCGAAGGTGAAGGGGAAGGCGAAGGTGATGGCGAAGGCGAAGGCGAAGGTGAAGGCGAAGGCGAAGGCGAAGGTGAAGGTGAAGGCGAAGGCGAAAGTGAAGGTGAAGGCGAAGGCGAAGGCGAAGGCGAAGGGGAAGACCCTAACTCTGCTACATCGATTACCGCCTATACATTTACAATTATATTCTTGTTCAGCGTTTTAGAGAGACTTCGTGCCAGCGTCGTCCTTTCATAGTAAAAATAAAGTTCATAGTGATACCTCAACTAAGTAAGTTAGTGATTGTTGAATATTATAATTGTGATAATTTCTTGTACAGATTTCATAGTGAAATCTTGTACAAGCAATAAAATGTATTGTTAGGTTTAATGTCTAATTGAGGTACCTTAATTAGAAACATTTATAAGTGAAGTTATTTATTTAGATTACCTTCGACTTAATTTCTATACATTAACAATATTAAACTGCTAGAATCAAGTAGCTGTATAAATATTTATAAATTTTCTTGCTTGTTGGTCTGAAATACAGGCATTTCAAATGCTTAGCTTAGGCAGGCTTCCACAAATAGATTGTTAATAAAAAACCTATATTAATCAACTTTGTGTATTTCGTGAAAGAAATAAATGAAAATATATTATATTTATAAAATTTCATGCAAATAATTGCTTGTAATAAGACGATCTACTCCTAAGAATAATAAATATATACAATACAAGTGATAAATGTACATTAAAGAAATATAAAGTCAATGTATTTTTAAGTTAACCTATTTTCGAAGTCTGAACTTATTATTAATTATAAACACAATTATCTTAATTTAAATGGAATAGTGATGTGATAATAAATATAATATACAATAATAATATCCATTGTATAGTAATATCTAAATATCTTAGGGTGATATATTAATCGTAAGGGACAGTCATCATTATACACCATTGGAATATTACGTAAATGACGTTATGCAGAACTTTTTCTAGTTAACAACTACACGGCAGGGCAGTAGAGTGCATTATGCAAAACTGTTCTATTTCTGCACATGTGACATTATACAGAATACATAATAACTATACATATACGTATCACGGGTACATATGCGAGTCCCTTCCGACCTTACATAGCTTAGCGACCCCTGTGTGAACTTTGCATCAAGTTGCACGCAACGCGACTTTCATTATGCACGAGTTGAGTTATGGCATAATGGGGTTTTCTTTGATTTTTTTCGACATTGCTATTCCCTAACGTTCACATCTATGATGGATGATCCTAAGCATTTGAAACAAAAGGAAAAACAAACTCAGTCAAAGTTATAGTCCAATCACATTTTTCTACCTGGACGACTTATTTGAGCCGTAAAAAAGTATCGATGCAAATACAAAGTAGCCTATTATTATTTATGTATTAGTCATTGTTAAGATTATACAGTTCCATATAGATCTTTTTAGAGACTGATACCTAAAAAGCAAGTACCTCTGATAGCCTCTAAAAAGTTTATGATGTTATTAGGGCCAATGATGGACCAATGTAAATCGACGAGGTTTATAGTTTCATGTCAGATGTTCCCTTTGAATGTCCGTGTTGTGTTATCAAATAGAACCTTTGCCATATATTATAGCTATTAAGCAAAAATGTAGAGTTAACAGAGGTGGCTGAATATTTGATGTCGTCCAGTAATACAGTACTTATTTTTATGGCAATAGATTTATTACCTGTATGGTATAATCGAGTAAGATTTAATGGATAGCATATCGGCTACAATATTGAAATCAAATTACTGACTGTTGAGAAAATGACATTTCAAGTAGATCTATTCGGAATGGTTTTTAAGGTTTTCATGGTCAAGTGGTGTTTGTTATATAATTTTTATCATATAATTTATTAAAAACGTAGGGAAAGTAAATCTTGTCCACAAACATGATTCAATTGATATATGATTTGATAATATTGATAATATGATATAATAATCACTCAAATAAATAAGAATATGTGAATCTATACTATTATTAAGAGGAATAATTTCAGTTATTTAGTGGTTTTTTTTTGCATTGAAAACGCTCCAAAGTCTTTGGATTGATTTTAAATATTCTTTCACTTAGGGAAAGCTTTAGTATACGTAGCTGCCACACGCTATAATTTCCAAGGCCGAAGCCATGGGACAACACCTTGTATTAAATAAACTGTAATTTAAAACAATCAACACAAACAAAATAATCACACATATATATATGGAAATACTCGAACAACAGTATTCTGACAGAAGTATGATTATTCGATTTACTTTTAGATTTTACTAGGGTCTTTATCGTATTGGTTGCATATTTTGCAAATCTAAAACATTGTAATTAATAAAACAAATTAGAATGTAAAAACATCTAATGACAAAAACTCTGAAATCAGCCACGTGTATGAGAGTTATTTTGAGAATGTGGTCCCTCCGTTTTGTTTATCGGAGGGCAGCGCATGTACGAGTATATACGCTGATCGTTAAAAGTTCACGAGTGCAGATTGGCAGGCTGCGCTTAATGTGTCGTACCGGTGGTATTGCAGCTGCTGCCGCTTCATTACTAACACCACTTGTTTTATGCGCTAATTTTAATATGCTACACAGTCATGTATAAATATACTTTAGATGCACTTACATACACTTGCTTTAGATGACATATCATCTTCGCGCGAATTCGCGCTCTTCACTCTAGTATCGACATCAGGGGTGGCCAACTTGTTTAGACCCAAGATCGACTTTTCACTGATGACACCCAGTACGATCTACCAATTACTTTACTTCTTAAAATCTTAAATGAAACAGCATAATTCGTATACAATTATGTAGCATTTTGATTTTGTTTGAATTGCCACGACCGACTGGACTAATATTCGCGATCGACAGGTTGGCCACCCATGATCTACATCATTATCTTCAACTCCCGTTTATCACAGTAATTTTGGTCTCTGGAATGCTTTACCATTTCACGTTAACATAAGATCAGAGTAAGATTGATGGTGTGAGTGCTGTCTCAAAATGTACTTATTATTTTATTTCATTTTGTAATAACTGATAATTAGTTACCGACTAAATAATCCGCATTTTGTGTTTCTTGTTTGATTAGGTCATTTTTTTACAAATACCACCGATGGAGTGCGCTGGAGCACATTTATACGTAAACTATCTGAGAGTAGTAAAACGAAATCCTGACAGTTGATAATAGTTGATAATATTTGTCTTCCAGTTCACCTGATTTGAGTTTATTAATGAGCAAATAATGCCACGAAGCAAAATGATTACGATCCGGTTATTAAAATCAACAAAACTACTAGTAAGTCATTTCTAAGAACTTAACACGGCATTACGTTAATGCCATCTGCAATAATGGAAGTTACGTTAATTGTATTCTCGACATATAATTCCTATTTTACAATAAGGTGTATGTACATATTCGGGTTACAGAGTGCACGTGCTAGCCACCTCGATTTTTAAATTTATCAACATTTAAGGTGAAATCATAGTGTGGATACGACATTAAATTGTCGTCTTGCTGTTTTCGTTTGTCCTTAGATACACGTAAACGTTTGTCCAAGAATAGTGAATATTGTTATTTTATATCATTATGTCGGTCTTGTTAGGGGGTTCGAGACAGAAAGAACTTTACGCCACAAGACGGGTTTCAAATACGTCTTTTACTTCGTTAATATTCATAATGAGCTCATCAGTTCTACAGCCCCCAACATTACCATCCGTTTACACGCGATGACAGTTTTTTACATGTATAACTTATTCTCACTATCACACATCAACGTTTTAATCAGTACTACGTTGTAGTGAGCCGTCATGTCCTTTTTGGCATTCGTTTTTGTATACAATAAGTTTTCCCAATGCTAAACCCATAACTCATTACTCATATTAAGTAGTTAAAGCACTGTATTATGTAAATCTTAAGCAACGAAGATACCACAATACTGTGACCTAAAACAATACAGAAAAGTTCATTTTCTATATTGATCTGTCAGGGAATCAAACCCAGAACCTCAGAGATAGCGACTCTTTGAAATCCGCGTAAATGCCTATATATTTCTTAATCGTAACTTTTAACTGTGTATTAATTTTACATAACTAATTCCAGGCAACACATACCTATGGCGATATATCAAAATAGTAAGATCAATATCATTTTAAAAACATTTTATAACTAATTAGAATTCGTAAATTATAAGAGTATATTGATATTCTTTTATAATTGTTTTTAAATAAAAATATTTTATATGAAACAACTTTTAAACGGTTTCATCGCGTTTGTATTTTCTTTTCAATTATTTATTGTAATTCTACCCTTTTTAAAGAAGAAAATTTATAATCATATAAACCATTTTATAGCCGAAGGAATTATGCAACACTTTAACAATTATCATAATAGTTTGCGAGTAGGAGTTATAAATGTATTTTACTGCACAATTTGCTACCCTCAGTCTACTTATCTATCCCACTGCCGGGCACGATATAAGTATCACCAATATTTAAAAACCGTCATTTTATTTCAGTCCAATGACTGTAAATAATGATTCGGTTGGAAATGTTTATAAAAACTTTCAATTTTTATCAATATTACACATTGGAAAGCTGGGTGCTTTCTACAATGTAATATTGATAAAAATAAAGCAAATCTTTACCCTTTTTAATAAAAAACTGGAGTTCCTATCTATAATTGATTAATAAAAACATATAATATAAATATCTTTATATTTAATTACATACAAATTAAAATATTTAAACTAATTAAATAATATTACGCCTGACAGATCAAACATAGACGCTAATTTTGGGACATTTCCTTGCTTATCAAAGAAAATATAACTCCTTTTTATTAGTCACTAACAAAAATGATCATAATTGTCCCCACTGCAGGGGCTCAGGCCTTCCTGATGAATACTGAGGGAGAATGGGCTATGACCCTCCACGGTGGCCTAATGCCTATTGGAGGATATTAACAGCTGCCAATGCTGCCGGGACCTACGGCTTAACGTGCCTTCCGAAGCACGGAGTAGCTCGAGGTAACAATTTTTGGTCAACCATCCCGTGCCCGAGGTTGCTTAACAATAAAAATCGCGGGCCGCGGTGCCACCTAGCTACTCAAAGATAATCTAATCTTGAACCAATTGGACTAATTTATTAATAAAAATGGAAAGTAACAATATTGTAAAAAAGGTGAAATAAATTTAACACCCATGGCAATATACATGTTGTT